TAAGTTTTGTCTTGTAGATATATATGATGGTGAAATTCACTGTGGTATATTCATACTTGTACATGGGAAAGTTAGGTCAGATTAATTCCACTGTCTTTTCCTATCCCATCTCTCCTCCATTCCCCTCATTCATCTTTGTTTACTCCACTGATTTTATTTTAGACTTTTTTTTAACAACCCTCCCGCCCCCACTCCCACCTTATTTTGGATTAGCTTCCTCATATCAGAGAAAAAAAATTCAACCTTGGGCTTTTTGGGTCCAGCTTATTTCATTTAGCATTATACTCTGCAGTTCCATCCATTCACTTGCAAATGCCATAGAGTTATTCTTTATAGCTCCATTGTGTATAAATACCACATTTTCTTATCCAGGATGCCTGGGTTGGCTCCATGGATTGGCTATTGTGAATTGTGCTGCTATAAATATTGATGTGGCTGCATCAATGCAGAATACTATTTTAAATCCTTTGGACAGATACTGAGGAGTGGGATAGCTGGGTCATATGGTAGTTCCATTCCTAATTTTTTGATGAATCTCCATATTGCTTTCCAGAGTGGCTGCATCAATTTGCAATCCAACCACAATATATGAGTGTATCCTTCTCTCCACATTCTTACCAACATTTATTGTTATTTGTATTCTTAAAAATTGCCATTCTGACTGGAGTGAGATGAAATCTCTGTGTAGTTTTAATTTGCATTTCTCTAATTGCTAGAAATGTTGAACATTATTTTCATATATTTGTTGACTATTTGTATTTCATCTTTTGAGAAGTGTCTGTTGGTTTCCTTTGCCCATTTTAAAAAATTCTTTGTATATCCTAGATATTAGTACCCTATCTAAGGAGCAGGTGGCAATGATTTTCTACTATTCTATAGGCTCTCTCCTCATGTTCTTGATTGTTTTCTTTACTGTGAAGAAGCTTTTTAATTTGATGCAATCCCATTTATTGATTTCTGATTTTACTTCTTGCACTTTAGGAATCTTGTTAATGAAGTCAGTTCCTGAGCTGACATGATGGCACGTTGGGCCTATATTTTCTTCTAGCATATGAAGGATTTCTGGTCTAATTTCTCAGTCTTTGATCCACTTTGAGTTGTTTTATGCAGAGTGAAAGACTGGGTTTAAAATTCATTCTTTTACATATGCATTTCCAGTTTTCACAACACCATTTGTTAAATAGGCTATTTTTTTCTCTAATGTATGTTTTTAGCACCTTTGTCTAGTATGAGGTAACTGTATTGATGTGGGTTTGTCTCTGTGTATTCTACTTGGTTCCCTTTGGTCTTCTTGACTGTTTTGATGCCAGTACCATGCTGTTTTTGTTACTGTAGCACTCTATTACAATTTAAGGTCTGGGATTGTGATGCCTCCTGCTTCACTTTTCTTTGCTTCTACTAATCTGGGTCTCTTATTTTTCCAAATGAATTTCATGACTGCTTTTTCTATTTTTGCAAAGAACATCATTGGAATTTTGATGGGAATTGCATTGAATCTATATTGTGCTTTGGTAGTATGGCCATTCTGACAATACTAATTCTGCCTATCCAAGAACACAGGAGGGCTTTCTACTTCTAAGGTCTTCTTCCATTTCTTTCTTTAGTGTTCTACAGTTTTTCATTTTGGAGGTCTTTTGACTCTTTTATTAGATTGATTACCAAGTTTTTCTTTTTGAGGCTATTGTGAATGGGATAGTTTTCCTAATAGATTTTTTCAAAAGATTAATCATTGAAGTATAGGAATGCAATTGATTTATGGGTGTGATTTTGTATCCTGCTATTTTGCTGAATTACTTATGAGCTCTAAAAGTTTTCTAAAGTTTTTGGTCTTCTATAGGTTCATATCATGACAAACAGATAATATGAGCTCTTATTTTCCTGTTCATATCCCTTTAATTTCATAAAGCATCATTTCTGCCACATTTTCTTCCTTAGAAGAAAGTCACCATTGGGCTGGGATTGCGGCTCTGCGGTAGAGCGCTCGCCTAGCACGAGTGGGACGCGGGTTCGATCCTCAGCACCACATAAAAATAAAAGGCATTGTGTTGTGTCCATCTACACCTAATATATATATATATATATATATATATATATATATATAAAAGAAAGTCACCATGGCCAAGCTATACTTAATAAATGGTAGGAGAAGAGTCAAAGAATCTAGATGTTTTAAAGTCACTTCCCATAGATTAGATGAAACTAACAGATCTGTCATTGTTCTTGAGCAATGAATGCCAAAAAGGCTAGCTACTTTATAGAGATGGGTCACAGAGCTGCACTGAACAGAATACAGGTTGTCAGCAAGTTCACTAAGAACTCCTTTTTTTTGGGGGGGGGCGGGAATTCTGCATGCTTGCTCTTTCTCTAAATGTTTGTCTCCATAGCTATATTTAGGAGATTAGATTCCTTTGTTTCCTAAATAAAGAAAAACTGGAATTGAAGTTCACCATGGATCCAAATTAGGATGATTGAATTTTTCTATACTCAGTAAGGACCTAGGAATTCATTACAGTGAAGAGTGATCAAGTACCAGTGAAACCTTCCAAAGAGTAGTAATCTCTGGATATTTTTATGTTCAAGTTTAGCAAATTCTTTAATAGTAGGCAGCAGAGACTGCTTCAAGTCTAACACTGCTTTCTTTTTCTCCAGAGTATGGCTAGTCTACATTTCCCATCATCCCTTACAGTTTTGTGAGACCATGAGACCAACTTCTGACAAAAAAAAAAAAAAAAAAAGGACAGAGAGTAATAGGGACTACTTCTAAGCCTGGTCCATAACAATCTAGAATAGTCCTATTAATATAGGTAGCTAGGTATGAGCAGGGGAATGGAGGGAGAGAAAGTAGGGCTAATTGTATCTTGAGTGACAAAAGATCTTTCCACCCCGCCCATAAACCAGCCTCCTTCACCATCAGATACTACCTTCTAAAAACTAAAAAGAAAAAGATATAACCACCCTAAGGGAGTTTCCAACCTTAAGGCCTGCTCAGAGCACCAAGGCACTAAGCCTTGGTGAGAAACCATGGTAACCACCCCAAATACATAATATATGAGAAGGGAGGTTTCCAGACCAATATAAACACCAGCCACATGGAAAACCCCAGGACATTTACCTCTTGGAGGTAGGGGCCTGTTCCATGTATCTCAGGGTTTACTTCCATTTTACTTAATATTTTTGTTTTTCTATATAAACCTCTTGACTGAAATACTTTTCAAGAAGATAAGAACTAGAGAGTGATATCTCTTGCTAACAGTCCTTTATCCTTTCCTCTTTCCTCATTCACTGACTGGATAGAATGGACTTCTAGGACTTAGGAGAGCATGGTAACAAGAGAGAAGGGGCCTGGAAGCCTGAGCCACCAAGAAGGAAGCTCCCTGATCAGAAAATTAGCATAGAATGTTGCTGCACAGGTAGAAAATAAACTTTTATTTCCTTAAGCCACCTTGAAGTATGCTTTTATATTTGTTTGCCAAACCAGACTGTGAAGTTTGATTTTCATTCAGGAAATGTTCACCCCTCTTCCTCTCCTACCATGACTGGAATATACTCCATGCCATTAATGACAGGCTTAGCCAGTGGAAAGGTAGCAGATATGACATGTTTTTACACTTTAACACTTCTATATTCTCCTGTTCTATAGCCCTCTGGCTGGCTTGCTATCCTCCTAAGAAGAATAAGCTCCAGCTAACCCCAAGACCAGAGAATGAGACACCTTTGGCTAGGAGCAAAGCATAAGTTGACCTGCAGATATGAATGAGATAAATGATTATTTTAAGTCACTGGGTTTTGGGGTGCTTTTTACGCAGTATTTGTACATGCATTGACCAGTACAATAATAAAGTGACCTTCTAATGGAACTGCATATTAAGCACCCACTCGGTCCCTATTATTTATATCATTTATGCTTCCCTATTTTATGGGTGAAGAAACTAAGGTGCAGGAAAATACTTGCCTAATATCACACAGGAGTTTGGTATAACAAATCAATAAATCTAAGCTTTCTTCCCACTGTTCCAAACACACCGAGGGAATATGAGAAAAGTAGATAAAATAAGGCAGGGACTGAACAGAAGTTAGAATGTTTCCACCAAATCCCACTTTAATAGAGCGTGACAATACTCCTTGTAAATGGAAAAAAAGAAAGTTCAAGACAAAAAAAAAAGGAGGAGGAGGAGGAGGAAGATGACAATAGTGAGGATGGTGGTAGTTACCAGCTTCACCCCTGTACAGCTAAATAATGGAACTTAATATGAAAGGTGTTGCACAGGGTGAAAATTCAACGTTTCTAGGGAAGATTTGAATAATTACATTATACCACTCCTGCCACGGGCTAATAAAGACAAGAACGTTCGTAGAAATGAGGTTTTCCACATCATCTTCAAGGTTAATTGAAGGAGGAAAGCCGCACCCTCCGATATAGTGTTCCTTGGAGGCCTGCGGGAGAAGGAACACCGTGCGCCTTCTAGGGACAGCCGGCTCCCTCCTCCGCCCTTCAGACAATGCTTGTAACAGCGTTTAAGGAGCACCCGACATAAGAAAAGGGGAAAGGGAAGGGGATCCTGGAGGGGCAAATGCAAAAGACATGGGGCAACACGGGTGGGGAGTCGCCTGCGAGCAAGGGTTGCTGCTGCGACCGGGCACGCCCGCACATCCACAACTACTCACCCTACACACACACACACACACACACACACACACACACACACACACACACACACACACACACACACACACACACACACACACACACTCTCACTCACTCACTCTCTCTCTCTCCCCCCCACATCCCTTCCCCCATCGCCCCCCACGCCCTTCCTGCGGGTTGAGCGGCCAATTCTCGGAGGGAGGGGTACGCAGCCCCAAAAGAAAACCCACAGGCTCAGTGCCTCCTCCCCCACCTCGAAACACAACGAGCTAGGGTTCGGGGCGCGGGAAGGGCGGCGCCCAGTCCAGCCCACGGCCCGGGAGGGCGCGGTGGGGAGTGAGCCGCCTGCACTGCCCCGCCCCTCCGGTGCCGGCGCCTCCCCCGCTGCGGCGGGAGAGAGGCGGGGCGGGGCTCCGGATATATAAGGCGAGGGGCGGGCGCCACTCTTTTGTCTCTTGCTGCAGCAACGCGAGTGGGATCATCTGGAGATCCGTTTGGAGCAAGAATTCACGGTGAGCGCTACTCTGGGGCGGGAATCGGGCCGGGTGGGGTCAGGGCTGGTGCTACCCATTGGAGCGCCGCGGCCGCGGCCGCAACAGGCGCCCTTCCCTAGCGGGACTCCAGAGCCCGTCGGCCACGCCCTGGGTCTTCTTCGGAGGGGGGTGTTAGACGCACCCAGAACCTCGGCTTCCGCGCTGCCGGGAACGCCCGGGAGGGAGTGCCTAGTCGAGAAGCGTCGGCGGAGAGTGCGGGGAGGGGGCGCTGGCCCCAGCCTTTGGCCAACTTCCGTGGTTTGCCCACTAGTATTGTTTTAAGAAAATGGCAGACAAGCCGGACATGGGGGAAATCGCCAGCTTCGATAAGGCCAAGCTGAAGAAAACCGAGACGCAGGAGAAGAATACCCTGCCGACCAAAGAGAGTAAGTGCGCCCCAGCCTCCGGGTCAGTGGCCTCTATGCGCAGTCCCCCTACCCGCCCTTTCCGTGCCAGCCGTACCCCCACCCGCCCAATGCCCCTGGTTTGGGCGGCCCCTGCTACCCTTAAGGTTACACAAAGTGCTCTGTCTCCCCCGCCCCAAGCCTCTTAACTCCCAGACCTGGTGGGTGCCAGGTTTGGGAGTGCATCGCTTGTGGGGATTGTAAGGTGCTTCAACCCCCAGTGCCCGCTTCCCGCTCTCCGCAGCCATTGAGCAGGAAAAGCGGAGTGAAATTTCCTAAGAGCCTAGAGGATTCCCCACCCCCATCATCTCTGAGACCCCCGTCGTGATGTGGAGGAAGAGCCACCTGCAAGATGGACACGAGCCACAAGCTGCACTGTGAACCCAGGCACTCCGCGCCGATGCCACCGGCCTGTTGGTACCTGAGGGGACACCCAATCGGACTGCCAAATTCTCCGGTTTGCCCTGGGATATTATAGAAAATTATTTGTATGATTAATTAAAATAAAACACCTCGTGGCATGGCTGGCGTGGTCTGAATCTATCTTGGTTGAGTATGCGTGGGCAGTGCCGCTGCAGCAAAGTCCAATTCACTTAGAGTGGAGTTATGCGGCAGAGTAGAGGAGGGGTGGTAGAATGGGCTGGCTCCGAGGGACCAATTTTTAATTTTGGCTTTACCTTCTTCTCCACAAGATTTCATGGGTTCTTAGCTGCTTGGCTTTTGCTCACCACCCACGTAAAATTTAACCCCACTTTGTCTCCCGCTCTGGAAAATGCTTTCTCAAAAGAGGATCTGTTTTGATAAGCTTTTAGAGTCCTACTCTTTTCCTCTGGACTCTTAATAGCTCTCAATCACACTAGAAAAAAAATTTTAAACGTGATTCAAAGTCTGTGAAGAAAGGGAAGAAATACTCTATAAGAAATGTTGGAAATGGGTGAGGCCGGAGTCTCCAAAAATATTGTGAATTAAAAAAAAAAAAAGGTAAAGAACAAAAAGGTGGGACCTAGGGAACCAACAGCGGAAAGGAACCTTAGAAGCAATATTAGGTCCAGAACCATGAGGGGACATCCTGGCGTTTTTGTCTTTTAACTCCAGCTCAAAACCTTCTACCGAAGCATTACCAATAGAGGGAGTGCTGGCTGAGCAGTGCTGTGATTTGCAGAAAGGGTGGGAATGTGGTGGAGAGGGGGATGGAGGGAAAAGAATGAGGGCAGGTTTCCCAGCCCGTAAGTCACACCCTCTGGACCCACAGGGAAGGGGGCCTGCGGGAGGAGGGACCTGGGACACCTGGGCCAAAAACCAAAAAAGAGACTTGTGATTTTGGGGGTGGAGTTTTTTTTTTTCCAACGAGGGAGGACAGGGAGATACATTGCTTAAGAGATTTTCCTCACATTTTTGCCTGACCCCAGGGGACTGGACATGCCTGAGGGCAGTTAATTGGAATAAGGTGCACCGCAGTCCACAAGGAATTTGAAATCTAGTGAGTGAAACAGGCAAGCCACAGCAGACCATTGTGGGGACACTAGGCCAAGGGAGTCACTTAGTATTTTACATAAAGGAGTGACTTGATAGAATGCTGAACACATTCTCCCAACTCAAGTCTGTACTCCTTTCTGTCACTTGGATACATACCTCTCCTTCCGGGTTAACCAGAGTGGAAGATTTTTGTTAATTGATTTGGTAATTCCCATAGGATATAATAGGCAATACTGAATGCAACTGAAATATGCTAAAACTGAGCTGCTACCAGGACTTCCTCCTTGTACTCTAGTTGATTCTGTTGTACCTTGACAGAATCCCAGCAGGGTGAATTTTACTGTGGTTCAGGGAAGATAATAATTTCCCTCCTTGAGTCCTGTCCAAAAAGCAATCTTAAAATGAGAGGAAGGAAGTACCATTAATTCACATTTGAAGCTATTGGTGGAAACACTACACAGTGTTAGTTAGCTGTCACTAAAATGACTGAAATAATTAAAAAGAGAAAAGATTTATTTGAGCACACAGTTTTAGAAGTTCCTGCACATGATTGATTGCCCCTCTTGATGCGGGCCTCTATGCTATGCACATGATGGTGGGAGTACATGGTAGAGCAAAATTGCTCATCTTCACCTCATGGCTAAGAAGGAAAAGAGAAAGAGGAAGAGCCAGGGGTCCCACAATGCACTTTGGCATTCTACTAGGACCCATCTCATTAAAAGTTTCTACCACATCTCTATACTATCACCTGGGGAACAGGCCTTCAACACACAGACCTCTGAGGGACATTTAGAATTCAAATCATAGGAAAAACTATAGATCTCAACCAGTTGAAATATTTGGATATTGGGTTGTTGATTTCTGTGAAATTCAGTGGCTGTGTTCTTGTTCAATTTAACTCAACAGCATTTTTTTGAGCACCCAGTGAGTGCCTATTACTATAGTAAGTTTGTGGAGGCTGTAAAAGATTTGTGCTAACTTACTATGAAGAAAAAGCTGGAGAGAGATATAAGTAAAATACCCAGAGGTTGGGGTTGTGGCTCAGTGGCACAGCGCTTGCCTAGCACATGTGAAGCATTGGGTTCAATTCTCTGAACCACATTAAAAAGTAAATAAATAAAATAAGGGTAGTGTGTCCATCTACATCTAAAAAATATTAAAAAAAAAACCCATGGCAGGTAAACAAAGGAGAAATTAACTCTGTGATAGAAGTTTCTTAGTGGAAGAGGAAGCATTTGAATAAAGAAGTAAGAATGGAAGCAGGGTTTTCTCAACAGAAGAAGCATTGCATCGTGACTCCAGAGCATGTTAAGTGAAGGGAAAAGGCAACGTTCAGTGAGAATAAAATCAGCCTTAAAATAGTCTAGAAATATAAGTGAGTGTGTTTTATTCTGTAGATGATTGGAAGCCACTGCAGATTCTGGAAAATGAAGACAAAGTGATCTGAGATATTGGTGAGAATGTGTGTGGAAAATTCTGTGGCAGACACAGTCAGTTATCTAACCAGTCATTGCTACCACCACTGCTGTCACCTCTATTATCACCTCCACTATCATCACCATTAACACCACCTCTACTATTACCACCACCTCCACCATTGCTATGACTACCACCATCACCATTACCACTACCAGAGGCACTCAGAGGCACTCAACCACTGAGCCACATCCCCAGCCCTTATTATTATTTTTTTAAATATTTTATTTAGAGACAGGGTCTTACTACAATAACACCTACTGCTCATTCCCTTCTACCCTGCCTGAGAAGACTGACCAATGAAAGACTAATTTTATTTAGATATCAGGCAGTCAATGAGCTTCAAGCAGACAAGCCCAGGGAGTGAGGCTTGATTAGGATAATTTAAGGCACCCAGGGGTTCACTGTTATAGAAATTTGTGATAAAATTTTGTTTGGTGTTGTCATAACATTTAGGGACACTACCTACTGATAGTTCATGAACAATGACCAGAAATGCTTGATATACTGTAATATATAAGACAAATCCACACATCAAAGATTTGTCCCATGCCCGGCATGATTATGACTATAGTGTAATATACATATAGAAAAATATATATTGGTGTACAGTTGATTAATCTTCACAAACTGAACACACTTAGTGCATTCTTCCAGTCACACATTCATGTATGTTCTAACAGCATGTATATGTTTGAAAATTTTTTGTTACTGGGGATTGAACCCAGGGAGACTTTACCACTGATGTAGGGACTTTAACTACATCCCTAGCCCTTTTTATTTTTTGAGACAGGGTCTTGCCAATTTGCTGAGGGTCTCATTTAAGTTGTTGAGGCTGGCTTTGAATTTGTGATCCTCCTGCCTTAGCTTCCAGAGTTGCTGGGATTACAGTGTGTGCCCCTGTGCCCAGCCCGTTTTTGAACTTTGTATATAGACCCATGACTTACATTCATGTAGATGAAGGATTTCTTCATAATTATATAAGTCTGGCAGCAACCAATTTTGCCCAATTTTATTATAGACTTCATTTTCCAGGATGTAAACTACTATATAAATTGAAAGATGCTTATTTTGGGTGGAGTACTGGGGATTGAACTCAGGGGCACTCAATCACTGAGCCACATCCCCACCCCACCCCCTTTTTTTGGTATTTTATTTAGAAACAGGGTCTCACTGAGTTGCTTAGCGCCTGCTGTTGCTGAGACTGGCTAGGCAGCTGGGATTATAGGTGTGTGCCACAGTTCCTGGTAGGATGCTTTTTTTTTTTTTTAAATTTACAGCTTCTCTAAGAGTTGATCACCACTGCAGAAAATCGTGGCACTAATAGAAATATCTTGGTTTCTAAATTCTTTCATTGGTATCAGTGTTTATCTAAAGCTGCTGGGTCACAAAACATAGGTGAAAACATTCATCAAATGCAGACTTCTTTTTTATATGCTAGAATATCTTATTTCATATTGTGTTAGTCAGATTTTGATAGGTTATATTACGGTAACAAACAGCCCCTTGCCAAATCTCAATGGCTTATAACTACAAAGATATATATGTTTACATATTAGTTGCCATTTTGCATCTGTTCCACAATTTTTCATATGGAAAGCCAAGTAAAACTGTTATTATGGCAAAGGAAAAGAGGAATACTGGAGTCATTTGATGGCTTTTCAAGTTTTTCTCAGACGTGCCACTTTCTTTCATATAACATTGGTCAAGGCAAGTTGTAAAGCAAGCCTTATCTAAATTGAGATAATGTAAGTCACAAGCCATCAGGCTGAGGTGTATAATTCTGATATAGGGAGAGCAAGAAATAATGGGGACCCATAATACAATTTGTCATATATATCGAAATGCACATACATATAATTTTTTTTTTTTTTTTTGGTGGTGCTGGGGATTGAACCCAGGGGCTCGTGTATGCAAGGCAAGCACTCTACCAACTGGGCTATGTCCTCAGCCCCTTAATTTTTAATAATTATCTTTATTTCAGGTTTATATCCCAGTTAGGGTTTATAGTGATTTATATTTTTATGTGTGTGGGTAGGTTTTATCATCTTTGATTTTCATTTCAAAAAAGAGGAGTATTATGAAATATTTAATATATAATAATATGTTCATTTTAAAGGGTTGGGAACCAGTGATCTGAACCAATCCTGGTAATTCTATTACCTTAGTTAGTGATTGTCTTAAGAACCAGTGTGGACTGGGTGTAGTGGCACATGCCTTGTAATGCCAGAGGCTCGGGAGGCTCAGACAAGGATCAAGAGTTCAAAGTCAGCTTCAGAAACTTAGTGAGACCCTAAGCAACTCCTCAAGACCCTGTCTCTAAATATAAAAAAGGGCTGGGATGTGGCTCAGAGGTTAAGTGCCCCTGGGTTCAATCCCTGGTACCAAACAAAAAACCAAAAACTAGTGTGGGTTTTGATTCTGTCAAAAGAGACTGAAGGGGAAATCTGCTTACTGGCTTTTTAGAAGATTGTACATAGTGAAAATATATAAATATCATTATGAAAGGATGTGATATTTGAATCATGACAGTTGTCTTAAAGCCATTAAGGGAAATACTAAAAGGATGAGAG